TAAATGAAATGCAGCAAAAAATGTGTATAATTTAATAGGCTACAAGTCATGTGGTGTATACATCAGATTTATTTATTTATTAGTCCAAAGGGGCAATTTGCCCAGAAGGACTATTAATTTCGTTTTGGCATTTTGCGTTGATTCATTTTTTGCATTGTAAGGATCTTAAGTTTTACTAACGTTTATTTTATTTTAAATCTTTACTATCACTTCTTATTTTCTACTTCCGGCCAGAATTATAAGCGTGAAGGATTTATGCAAATTTGTCTGGCGAACGCCAAGTATTTAAGTGTGGCCTTTTTGCCAAGCAAGAGAGAGGAAGCCGTGAGTTCGAAGCAGGCCGCTTACCTTAGAAGTTTACGCAGTTGCTACTTTGCCTTCCAGGCCAGAGGTTTTAATCCTCTTGATAAATTAAACGTATTGTAGTGTTCACAGTCTCTGTGCTACATACGCTTCCTGTTATTATAAGGCCAATCTTATTCTAAAGTTAAATTAGAGTTTAGTTTTTATTTTGATATCTTTTACGTTAGACCCCAAGTGGAGGGTCATTGTATTCCGAAGTACGGAAAGTTCATTGTATATAAAGAAAAATAAAGGGTTTTGTATACCCTTCGTCTGTATCCTGTCTACTTACTACAATTAGTGAACATAGCTTTAGTAAGCTCTCTGTTCCGAGTCAGGTCATTGTATGTTTCCGAAGAAGGTTAGAAGAAACATTGAACCTGATAGTGGCGCCCGACGAAGAATAACCATGGCCGAGTTTCAAGAAGAACCTGTGCTGCCTGCAGAAACGCTCAGAATCCAGAAATGCCAGCTGCCGCCCTGGAAGGATTTGGGTACATCGTCCAGACCATGCGCGCTTCGATGAAACCAGAAGCAACATTTAATGGAAACTCACCGGTAACCAGTTTTTTGGAAAAATTGGATGACCACTTCATGCTCTACCCCGTGCACGAGTTTCAAAAAGTTACCTTAGCTACCAGCGCTTTGAGGGGCCAAGCGCTTAACTGGTTCAAATGTATCGGCAGAAGTCTCTTGGGTCAAGCAGGAAGTCCCACCTATACCTACGAAAATTTCAAGACTGCCTACTAAAAGCCTTCCCTGTTGTAAGGGATCGTGCGAAATTAGAAACAGGAACTTTTCAGTATATATCAACAAAGAATCGAAAACCTCTCGAGTTTATTTTAAGAAAAATTCACGTTTTCAAGCTCTTGTATGGAAACCGTCCGGATCCTGAAATAATTCAAGTGATTTTGCCGAGGTTACTACCCCAAGTGCAAGACTTTATTGAATTAGAAATCCGACTACACTGAAAAATTATTTGAGCTAGCAATCCAGTTTGAAAGTAGAAGAAACGGCGGACGTCGAAAGAAGACGCCAATATCAACAGCGAAACCAATTTGGTACGCCAAGACTACAGCAAACTCAAGCACATGGCTACGGAGAAAAAGCGAATCAGTGGGCAAGGAAACCCGAGCATTCAAAAACAGCCGGCGAACGTCGACAGTTCAATAGCAACCCAGGAAAAAGTCTCAAGGCCAGTGGAAAAGAAGGAAAGCACCGAAAGGAAAAATAATTTAAACTAAAAACGGATTTCTGCTGACGAGAGGGTGCGGAAATCCGAAGGCCACGAAAACCCCTCTTCCTTCAAGTTAAATACAGTAATGGTGAAAAATTTGAACTCTTCCGAAGATTGAAGTCTTGGTGAATAATATCCCAGCCACCGCACTCCTGGATACAGGCGCGCAGTGTTCCTGTGTGGCAGAAGTCTTTTTTAGAAAGTATTTTCGCAAATACCGCATATATAATTCGGATAATACAACAGTGTTAGCGGCGCAAGGAGAACAATGTAAGTGCGTAGGTAAAGTACCTTTGTACATCCGTATCAAGGACGAACAAGTAAAGGTGATGTTTTTATAGTAAAGAATTTGCAAGCACACTTAATCTAGGAATAGACTTTCTTTCAGACGCACAAGCTACACTGGATTTTAATGAAGCGTCTCCTTAAGCTGACGATGAAACCAGTTCGTGTAGAAAAGGTTGAACCGCCAAGGGTTAAATCTTGACCACCTGCCTAATGACGAGCAAGATAGAATCCGACAAGTGGTAAGTGAATTTGCTTCCTTAGCTTCCTTATTTAGTGATATTCCAGGATTTACCCAGGTTACTAACCATAGTATTGACACCGGAGATGCATTGCCGGTTCGTCAAAAACCATACCGGTATGATAAGAATAAGGAAAAAATTATAGAATGGCATATTACCGATATGCTACGTAAAAAGATCATAACGTAACGCCTATCTCAAGTAGTTATGCTAGCCCGGTGGTTTTATGTAAGAAAAATAATGATTATCCTTTGGAGCATCCAAAAAGGTGGAGATTCGCTATTGATTACCGTAAATTAAATTCCATAACGAAATATCCGGTATATCCGTTACCGATTATAGAAGAAATTTTAAGGAACATAAAATCAACCAAATTTATGACGACTTTAGACTTAACGACTGGTTATTTTCAAATAGGGATCAGGCCTGAGGACGTGCCTAAGACTGCTTTTATAACCAAGTCTGGCACTTATGCATTTTTGCGAATGCCGTTTGGCCTTTCAGGCGCCCCAGCAACATTTCAGCGATGCATGGACATTGTGTTAAGACCTGTTCTTGGAAAGTCCACATTTATCTATTTAGACGATATCATTATTACTAGTGATAATCTCGACCAACATGTACAGGATTTTAAGACAGGTGTTTTTCTTTATTAAATGAGGCCGGTCTAAAAGTTAATGTCGAAAAGTGCAAATTTGCAGCCCCTGAATTAAAATATTTAGGTCAATATCGCAAAGGATCGAGCGGCTTGTTCTGTGTAGAGTGTTGAAATTCAAAAGTTGTTTATTTTTGATTAATTATGAAATTTCATTTCGTCTTAATTATTATTTCATTCATTTGGTTAGTATTTTTGGTAACTCTCATATGTTACTGTTCTTCATGATACTCTTTTGTTTGCTGCTTTACCATGTTTGTTTATTAATATTTATTTATGAATTCTTTCCTTGATATGATACTTAATTCATTTATTTTTTAAAAAAGTGTAAAAATGAATACAGAAAATCATGTTTACATAGATTGCTTTTCTACACTGAAAAGAAAGTTACTATAAATATTTTTAAGTCATAATTTTATCAGCTTAACAAGCAGAACAGTAAATATAAATAGTTGGTTTCTGAAAATCATAATAGTCAAATTTCCGGAGCACTGTAAATGCAGTTGTCCCTTAAATCATGTAAGGATAACGATGTCAATGCCTGCGTAGTTCAAAATTAATATATAATTTTATACAACTTAAAATTTTATTTTTTGCAACTGACTATTATCCTATTGATAGTATAAACTGTAAATTAACGCATTTTGTATTCTATAATATAAGTGCCAAAAAGAAAAATATAGAGATTTGTGCAGAGTTCACTGCAGTACTAGCTGTGAAACTAACAATTTTTCATAATACATTTTTCTTCATTTTATAATAGTAAATAATAAAAAATAGTATCTGTATAGATTTTAAATATTCAAAAAATTAATTTGAAGTTATTTTTAATCTTGTAAGTTACATAATTTATGTGCAGGATTTTTTATTTTGAAATCATGTAGCTCAAAAAGATTTTCAGGTGTATTATTGAAAGAGCTACCATAGGAAATAGACTAGTGTAAGTCTAATGCATATATGTAAGGCATATATAATCTCAAAATATGAACTGACACAACCACTGACTGATTTTCAAGGACTAAATATACATGCTAACTTAACATTTAAACTAAAAAACTCAGCAATTTCCCATGAAAATTGAGAATTAAGTATAAAATCTTATAAAAGCATCCTTTTATGTTAAAATGTTTCAGTATTACTAATGCTTCTAATATTACAGCTGTTGGTATCCTTTAATATCTACAATGGAAGGTATTAAAAAAATAACATCCCGATATTTATGTGTATACATTAAAAATCGATTACAACAGCTAAAACATTAAAACATATCCTGATGAAATTAATAAAATTTTAGCGGCATAAAATATTCTATGACTTTAATTAATATTAACAAGAGAAAATTGGCTTTGTATTTATGTTCTTGCAGATAAACAGATCTTCCATGAATTCGGCTATTTCAGTAATTTAGAACAACTGTTCATGAACTGTGAATATACTATTATTACACTTACATTTAAAAGTTTGGAAAATGTTATTCAAGGTCTCAAGAATAGTTTTCGTTTAACTGATATACACTTAATATTTTTATTGAAAACATTATTAATACTGGTAAGCATCATGCATAAGAAACATTTATAAATCTTACCTCATTTTCTGCAAAAATTTGTGCAGATTAATTCATAATAAATTGATTTCTTCATTTCGGTCTTAACACAGTTTGTTATAAGTACCATGCTATCCGACATTACGTCACATTTTTTCCTTGAATAACAAAAGACCTTCTTGTTGATATTAAGGAAAGAGAAATAATTTCCAAGCATATTTTTTAATTTCTCGCAATAGGCATAAATTTCTAAATTCAAAAAATCAATTAATTTCAGCAGAAGTTATAACTCCATTGTAAACATAGCACATGTGGATGTTGTTGTTCTTAAACTACGTGACCACATTTTTGCTCTTCTTCTGTTGCGAAATGTATCTCATTAACATTCCATTTTTAATATATTTTCATTCTGTTAAGTATAATTCGTTTGTCAAGGTGGAATTTTGTTAATGTGTTTCATATTCAATAAGTGTATTAGTTCTGTTCTCATTTTTATTAAAATAGAGACTAATAGTGTATTTTATTTTTGCAACCATTTTTTTTTCTACAAAATAAAACTCATATATGTGAAAAGTGTATAATATTAGAAAAGTAATTTATGGCAATGCTATAATTCTTAAATTTCTAATTATTGCAATTCATTTGTGTGTATGTTATATAAACTTCAATACATGTACTAAATGTTGTGAAATTTGTATAGAGTCGGTCTAAGCTGGAGGATCCAGAACTTTTAAAACTGAAGCAGAAAGCTAAAGAGGTAATTAAATTTCTATAAAGTAATTCACATGCACACATATATGTACACAAAAATGAATAAAAATACCTAATCTAGTTGTGTGTTGAAGGCAGCAGCATGTGGCATAATAATGCATGGTAAATTAAAATAAATTGAAAATACATTTAAAATCCATCCCATATTGACTTTGGCACAAACTATATGAAAAAAATATTACAGATTAACCATATGTAAAACATACACATATTACCAGAAGCCACTGGTAATCTGTGTGATAGACACAGAGAATGCCAAAATCAAAAAAGAAAAAGAAGAAAAATTTTTATCTTTCAATTACATTGTTGATGCAAAGGAAGAAATAAATATATCAGCCTATTTCTGAACTAACAAAAATACATTTAAAGTTTAATATTTAAAATAATCTGAGAAATCAAAATCTGTGTTTTCATCAATCGAACCTTTACATCGAACCATAGTAAAAAGTGCAAAAAATTACAAAATTATTGCATAAATATCATAAACTTAAAAATTGCTTTTTTTTTTAAATTTATTTTGTGCATACCAAGTTCAAAAATTTAACCATATAAGTGCAAGCAATTCAGCACATGAAGAAATAATAACATGAAAATTTTAAAAAGTAAGGCAGAGTACAAAAAATTTCTTTGCAAAATTATAGCATCAAAATATAAACAAGCAAAAAAAAAAGCTTAAAAATATAATAAAGATTATTTTGTAATTATCCAGACTAAGTCTAAAAAACAAAACATGTAAACAGAAAAAAGTAATAACATGAAAATTTGATTAAAAAATTATGGGGAAAAGATTAGTTCAAAATTTTGTTACATTACAGCAACAAAATTTTGAAAAGAAAAGAAATATTAATTTGATGTGCCCTGTACATATATTAAGGTAGGTCAAAAAGTAAAGTAATGAGATCTGTTACTTCTGATTTGACAATTTTTATGCATTGTGATATGTTAAGATAAATGCAGGAGCAATAAAACTAAAAGAAAATTTACCACATTTAGTTTACTGTGTTGCACATCGTGAAGGCTTGAGTATTTGCAATGCTTCAAAAGAAGTTAAAACTGAGAGATATTGAAACTGTGATGAAAACAATATACACTGTATTTTCTAGATCTGCAAGAAAAGATAAATTTCAAGATATTGCTACTGCTTTAGAAAATGAAGCTATTACTTTTATTACTTTTAAACCATTAAATGTAGTTAGGTGGTTATCTAGACATTTTGCACTGAAAGCAGCATTAATTGAATGTTTTAAAGAAAATAAAGCAAGCATTTCAAAATATTGTATACAGAAATTGAAAAATCCTGAATTTCATATAAATTTAATATTATGAATGATGCTTCTGAAGAATTTGCAGCGTTGTGTAAAATATTTCAGCAGCACGATCACTTTCAGCATCAGTGACCACTTGATGCATTTCACTTTGTTCGTGGTAAACTAAATAAACTTAAAGCACACTATACTAAGTACAGCAGTATTACTTGGAATAATACAGTGAAAATTCTTCTCTGTAAAGCCAAGGGAAAGAAATTAGCCTGATTCTATGCTAAGTTTTATAAATTTGCTTTGCTCTCATTTAGAAGAAAGATTTCTTGAAAATAAAGTACATGAATGGACTGTGTTTGCTTTGACAGTATCAAGTGCATGTGATTTCAATTATGGCACATAACTAGTAACTAGCATAAAATACAGTAACATATTAACAGATAAAACAGTTATACTATAATAATATGACGACTTTTAAATTTGCCATTTGTGAAAACATTTAAGTGTAAATTGATAGCAAAGTTTTCAGATAAAGTAAGTAGTGTGTTCATTACACAATAAATTATTTTTGAAACTTTCAAAATTAATGGATATTTGAACAGAGCATTCTTGGCATCTAGTGTTGACTGTTAATGAGATTCCAGTTCAATAATTTAATAAGAAAATAAACAAAGAAAATTATTTAGATATGTTAAAGCAAGTAAAATATTGTTTAAATGGTGAAAACACAAAAATTTTGATCACCTGTGTGCTAAAGGTTTAAATTTTAAAGATAGGAGACAAAAGATTGCTTGCATAAATGTAGTTACTCTTTTGGGGGGGGAAGAAATAAATCTGAGCATTACTATCAAAGTTAAGCTACATTTTGGAAAATATTTTGTTATGCTTCCATGTGTATTAAAATATTAATTTTTATAATTAATATTCTTTTTATATATATGTTTTTTTGAAAATAAGGAAAATTATTAAAATTAAATATAAAAGTAAGAGTAAAAAATAAAGCCACATATACATAAGCAATTCTTGCAGTAAAAATGTTACGCATTAGTAGTCATAAGTTAGAGGAACACTGACCACAACATTTGAACGTTGCCAGTGCGTGGCAGAGATGTCATATAAATACAGCAAAATATCAGTTGTAATATGGCTGCACTAACCATATTAACTTCAACATGGTCAAATGTTGAAGTATCTCTGTCTAAAAAAAACGTCACCGATAGAATTTATCAGCTTGTTGAACTATATGTTGTTAATGTCTGTTCTTTGTTGTTAATGCACATGCCTTTTGATGTGCTAAATTCAATAAAGACAGGGCAGATATGCAAGATGAATAACAGTGCATTCGAGCACTTCCTCTGTATTGAAGCTCTGATTCAGAATGATCATTGTATTCAACTTTGCAGTAATGCTAAGGTATACAGCATCTTAGTGGGCAACCTGCACAGTGTTGTACACGAGCAAATGGGCTACCAGAAGATGTGTTCATGCTGGTGTGTAAGCAACTCACAAAGAATTATGAAACCTGTAAATAATGGGATTGTCTCTCATGCACTTGATGTGGTTTAGTGATGAAGATATTCATTCTATTCTTTTACTGTATTTCAGTTGTTTTGGTGCTCTGTAAGCTGCAAAAGTGTTTTTAGCAAAAATTGTCTTAACTTGTCTGTTTAAAGGTATCTTGTTGCTGCACAACACCGGACAATCACATGCAACTATCATTACTCATGATTTGTCATGGCACTTCTTTTGGGAGTAGCTGGATCATTCTTTCTACAGTCTGAACCTGCTGTTCAGTGATTTTCATCTGTTCAGACAGCTAATGAAGCACATAAGTGATTCACAAGCAGTGAGGATTGTCATTGTCTGGCATCCAGGGATTTGACAGTAATTTCTTTTGTACAAACATTGATGCTTTATTGTACCATTGGAACAAATGTTTGGACAAGCATAAGCATGGTGACTGTATTGAAAAGTTACATTACCAAGTATCCATATATCTGCCTAGAATGGAGTTTGTCCTGAGAGGACCTGTTATTTTGCATTTTGAGTTGCCTTCTTTGTGTTTATTACCAGATTTTTCATGAAATACTCTTCTGCTATCCTGATTTCTTGAAATGCTGCTCCTTGAATCAAAGTATCCATTGGGCAGATTATGTTTATGTGCATAATGAAGTTTATATTTATATAAACCTTGAAGCAAAAGTTATAAACAACCCTAGTGTTATGTAATATAGCCCATACATATTTGAAACTTTTTCATAGAAATGTTTTTACATATTAAGTTGAATTCTTGCTATGACAAGCATTAAACAGATGTATGTGATATTTTCCTCCTTCTTAAAATGATGATGCTGCTGCTCAAATTCTTTAATTTCTAAAAACATGAAAATAATAATATAATAGCTTTTAGCAGCTGCTTAGCAAAATACATAAATATTGTGTTAGCAGCAAAAATAGAAGTTTTGTATTTCGTATGAATTTTCAGATAATTCAAAACAATTTCATTCATAGAGTATAATTTTAAATATGTAATCAGTTGTAAACAACACTTAAAATTTACCAATAAGATTTATTTTATGCATAAAAAATTATATCTGGAATCTAAAAATTATATTTTCTATTAGAAAACATTTCTTGTAACTGTAATGTACCTCACTCCTGTACTTTAAACGCCCCTCCCCCCCTAAATTTTTTTTTTAGTGATGGAATTATTCATCTTGGAAATACTTTTTTAACTGATACATGACTAAACTGAGTGTACAGGTTTTATCTTGCAGGAGGTTAACTTTATACATAAATTTACTAGTTGCCTTTGGAACTGCTACTGTTACAGCCCCCCTTAAAAAAACTAAAACTAGCAGTATTTTAATAAATTTTTAGGTTGTTATTAAAATGTATTTATATTAAATACTTCATTATTTCATAAAAGAAGTTAATAAAAATATTGAAGTATCTAAAATCCTAACACCTTGATAAAGAACTAAGTATCCCCAATTCTATTTGTATTATATTATAGTAAAAGTTGGCGTAGTGTCTGTTAGATTTGTCATACTAGATCTGCCAGTTAGATTTATATGCAGCTCCTACAATTCTTTTATGCTATTTATTAAGAGAGTGAAGGCATGGCATTCCTTGAAAATATTTGTCTGGAATTACCTATAAAAGTAATTTTCTTCTTGCAAAGTAAAGTTTTACGTTTTTTTAGGAAAGGTAGCACATCCTTAAATTGTTATATTTTAATTGGCAGTTATTAATCTTGAGGTAATTTTATATTATAAAAATATGGTTTATTTTATCATATTACTCAACCTATGTATATTAACAGATGCAGTGAGTGAAGATGTGCTTGTGTAGTAAATTAGTACTCTTTTTTTTTTTAATTAGCAAATTATAACTTAGATAGCTTTATGATATGAAAATATGATTTCTCTCTCCATGTTACTAATTCTGATACTTATGTATATTAACAGATGCAACGAGCTGAGATTGAAGAAATGAGGCAGCGAGAAGCAAACATGACTGCCCTATTAGCTATAGGGCCTCGGAAAAAGTTAAAAACAGAATCCTCATCTCTATCCAATCAGGTATTTATTTTATCAGGTTAAACCTTTGAAGCAGGTTAGTATCTAAATTTTTATTTTTGTATTTCTAATTTTATTATAATATTTTTAGGTTGGAAACACTGAACCTCTAAATGCTAGCAGTTCTGTGAAACCTCCTGTAAGTAATGTAAAATTGAAATATCCTATAATATGTACTGATATAATTTTCTGTTTGTATTATATTTAGTTATGATAATGTATAATGAAATCTCCGTAAAGATGACAGTTTAAAAAAATTGTGGTCTTGGGAGAATGAAGTTTGGGCCTGTGATATTAGAGTGCTGAACATCACCGAGTGTCCAACTGCTCTGTGCAGTTAAGTCTATCATGGGGGGGGAAACTATAAAATCAGTTTTTTCCAAAATTATTTTGAACTTTTTGTCTCTTGTTATTACCTAAGCATATTTTTCTGTCCCCGTTTTTCACTTTTGCAGCTAAAGAAAGAGATTCTGTTTTTAACTTTTTAAACCTGTCCTGTAAATTTGTGTGTCTTACACTAGTTTTTGATTCCAATTATTAGTATCTTTAATCTACTGATAGAAACAGTTTGATTCCAAGAAAAAGGGCCGTATAATGAATGACGTAGTAAACTTGCACCATGCTGTCATCTATGAGCAAAGCAGAAAGGTTTCTGCTGTTGCATATGGGTACTTTTTCACCTGGATGCAATAGTTGTATGCATTTGCACCTTCATAAATGAAAACCATACCTCATCAGTCCACTGGATTTGGCAACTAGTCTGCATTGTTTTCCCATCTGTTGAAAAGCCCTATTTAAATTTGTGATGTCATTATTAAAAGAATCCTCTGACTTTCTGTGGTAGTAGTCAGTCACATCATGCTTTTCGAATTATTGAATTCCACCAGGAGCCGAGTGGCAAAATTTATGAATATTGGCGATTTGACCTGGTTTGGCTGCATGGGCATTTACATTGCTGTCTTAATTTGTGAATGGTAATTATGTCACAAATATGGTAATTATGACAATTTCTCTTAGAAAGGTCCTCCACAAAGGCTTCCTATCCGTTAGGCAGTTAGCCCGTGTGTATTTTGTCATAATTAAATAAGCCAGACCAAAATTGAATAATTGAATTTTTAATTTATCTATTATTTTTGGCTCACCTGGTATAAAGGGAGATGATCCAAAAGTCACACATGTCAAATTTTCAAAAATTGTAGAAATTCTAGAATGGATGCTAATGGCAAATTGTTTCCATAGATGACATTTCTATACTCTTACAAGTAATATATCACCTTGAAATTTCTTTTGCAGTTAATGCTGTTTGCTTTAAAACCATGTGTTTGTTGCAAGATGGAGATGAGTTTCTCCCATGCAGAATTAACTTTTATTCTTATGATTGGCTGTTGTTTTCCATTTCATTTTTATGCAAAAATTTTTGAAGCTTTTAAGAGACTTTTCCTAATGTTTATAAACCTAATAAAACAATGATTTTCCCCTTCATAACTTAATTTATAAGAAACTGGTAGAATTCACCATAAGAAGTGAAATACCTGCTCATCTTTCTGAGTTCAAACAAAATGGATGAAGTTGGGAATAAAATGTTGCAATCGCCTTTGATGCATGTGAAAAATTATGTCACAATCAAATTTATGAATTGGAAAGTAATGTTGTATGATGAAATTTGTTTCTGCATGAGCATTGTTCTGCAAATACTTTGCTATTAATTTTAGTAATAGTTCAAAGTTTAAAAAATGTGCATGACTTCTTGATTACCTGATATGTGTGTAAGTGCATGTGCATATACATAGAAAGAAATCGCACAAAATTAATATCCTTATAAAGCAGTAAATTTACTTACAGGAAAAACCCAAATAATGTAATATAATCCCAAAACTCTTCAAACAAAAATCAAGTAAAAGTAAATACAAAATGTCCTTAATTTCAACCAAAATCAGAAGAAGGTTAATTTTAATCATCTGAAATTTCTGTCTTGTCTTTATGACTCCCATTTTGTGTGTGAGTTAAGCATTTTGGAGTAATATTTTTACCAACAAATATAGCTATCTTTTGAATAGGTTCATGGGTGATAACTTTGTTTTTTCTAATACGAACAGTGTGATTCTCGAGTTTCTGGGCGAGAAGTGAAACATAAGCATTTTGAAATTATTTCATTTTTTGCAATGAAGAACTCTAAATAACTTTTCGCTTTTGGGGATATGAATTCTTTTATTAAAGAGTTCTAAATTTGGCAACTTATCAACATTCTGGCGATTTTAAGGTCAATTTCTATATAAAAAAAAAAAAAAAAAAAAAAAAATTAATTCGGAGATCTGAAAATTTTTTGCTGTTTCCCCGCCATATTACAAAGTTACATTACTTTCCCTTTTGGTGATTTATACAATATTTTGAAAACTGAACAGGGTAACAAATGCAAGAAAGCATAATTTATGAAACAATTTTTAGCAAAAGCAAAATAGCTATGTAATTTATTAAGAATATGTTGTTTTTAATTTTTCCTTGGTAAAAGTTTTTCCCACGTAAATTTTCTCAGAATATGCATCAGTTTTCTCTATAAAATTAGTTATACAACAATTTTTTTTTTTTTTCCCAAAATATTTCTTCCTTTTTACTGTTACAGAATTTGTAGGGGTAATTTTTCTTTCTGTCATTAGACACTGCAACTTGGTAAGATTAGAAGGATTTGAAGGCAAGATTTATAGACCCACATAGTCTATAAACAAATTCTAGGAGATTGCAGAAAACATGACAAAATGAAAAATGTCTTCATGGTTTAAAAACAGGATGGATGTATTTTACAAAAAGTTTGCAATAAAAATCTTACTTTTTGAGAATTTTTGGCAGAACAATGAAAACCATTTAAATGTTTTACTTCTGATACTAGAAGTCTTCTTCTTAACATGCTTATCTTCCCTTAATTTTCTCTTCATTTCACTGGGCAGCATCAGATTCTTTTAATATAGATTTTGTGCATAAGAACAGGCTTCAATAAAAGGTCTGTTTTAAGAATAACCACATAAAGATGAAAATTTTGACTTAATTAAATTAGGATTTACTTTAACGAATACAAATGCAAAGCATGTATAATAATAAAATATTCACTATGTACGCCATGTACAAAAAAGGGAAGAAAGTTCTATATCTCCCATTCTACTGGACTGATTGTTGAAATTTAACTTCTGTTTCCTAGGTCTCGAAAGTGTGATTTAGGATATATATTAAATTTATATATAGCATTATTCTAACTTAAGTATTTTGATACAAAATCGTACTTTTTCTGAAATAAGATATTAATTTTTTTCATATTTCTATTCTACGACTCAGATTATGCCTATATATTAAATTTTGTAATTTTTGGTAGGAAATTAAAAAAATTATCTTGGTGCATTTTTTTTCAGTTTGTGCTAAGAATTCAAATTCTTAGTTTATAGTAATCTACTTACATTTTTTTTTTTTTTTTTTCCCATTGATGCAGGAGCAGGAAAAAGATCCAGCGTTCACTCTTTCAAATAATTTTAACAATGTGCTTAAACCACATTTTTGTTATTATCACCTATAATAAATACACGAAATTTCGAAATGTGCCAAAATGTAAATTCACATATACCTTAAAAATTTTTGAATAAAAAAAAACTCTATCATTTTTTGCAGGTATGCTTAGAAATACATCTACTTTAAGATGATAAAATTTTATAGATTATAATTCAAATTTTTTCAAAAAAATTATAAAGAGTATTTAAAAATAAATTATATAAAATGGGCAAATTTTATTTGGAAAGATCCTAAGTTTTGAAATGTGAAAAAAAGAATCAAATAAGTTTAATAAAAAAGAGAGATTAAATATGGAGGAGCTAATTTTTTGAAAACTACTCGTGTGATTTTTACAAAACTTGGCACTTTCGCACAATTTGAACCATAGAATCAAAATATGGGGGAAAAAAATTGGTATATCGTTTCGGAAAAAGTCTGATTTTGTGTCAAAATACCTATGTTAGAATAATGTTGTATATAAATCTAATGTATATCCTAAGTCACACTTTCAAGACATGCAAAACGCAAGTGGACAATCGGTCCAGTAGAACAGGAGATATAGAACAGCTCCCCCCTTTTTTGTGCAAGGTGTACACAAATTATATACTAGAAATTAAGTGTGGTAAATTTCAAAACAAGATTCTAGTCAAAGTGCTATTTCGCATTTTAGGACATCTGTTATACCTTATGGTACCATCCCAGTGTTAGTACTGATGCACAAGAAGTAGGCTGCTTTTTCATGGCCGCCCAGTATTAATTGGTCTTGAAATATTTTATAGTTTGAATGCATGAAATCTCTATTAATGTGACTATTTTTACTTACAGATGCGGCCTCGAGTGAAACGTGTAAATTTGAGAGACTTACTGTTTATTATGGAAAATGAACACAAAACTGTTCGAAGGCCTCTTTTGTATAAGTATTATGCCAGATAAAAATCACCCATTTATAAAATTTCTATTGGAACTGTGCACAGTAGTGCCATTTACTGAGACTTTGTTGGAGCTGAATATGTGTTCATCAGCTTATGGTCCTGGTGACCATTTGAGTGCATTGATTCATTAAATTCAGTGTGACTCTCTTTTAATTAATTATCCATCCATTTGGCTTAGTAGTGAGAAATCGTTGACTTTGAAAATAGTCAGCAAAACTGTTCAATTTGTTTCTGTTTCATAGACTTTGCACTGTCTCCTGTCTAATGTGGTCCTCATACTGCAGTACTTATAAGGAATGTTAATTTTTTAATGATTATTTTCATATTTGTAGAAATATGATACTCAAATAAAAAAACTGTAGAGTTTTTTAAAAAAATAATTTAGTACAATGCAGATTTAATTTGTAGCATTAAAAACAAAGCAAAAAAAAAAGTGCTGAATTTTATGAAAATTATGAATGTCACTTTTTAAAGTATCATTGCTGAAACTTTATTTTTTACATATTTTAAAGATATTGTGTATTTATGTCCAGCATTGTATTTTGTGACTTTTTTGTGATACAGGTATTTCTCGTTTTATACAATTTATCCGAGTTTGTATGTTTAAAATGATCCTATCTTGAAAAAATGATTATTTAAAGGTGAAATAGGACTAATTCAGTGAGCTGAATATGGAAAATGTAACTTCTTTTAAAATTGTTTTAAAAATAAATTATGTTTGGGTATATATATGTATATATAAAACTCTGTTTCCAGTTTTATCATCTGATTAATATAAAGTAAGAATAATCTAATATTTGTTAAGGGAATCAACTGTTATGAGTTAAGATATGAAATTTAAATCCTGGTTTAAAAGCTTAACTATTGCTACTTTCTTTGAACATTTCTATGACTGAAATAATATGGTAGTTCCAACTGTAGTTATAAATCGTGATGTGCTGACATAGTATACTACTTTTTGAAACGTGTACATTCTTTTCACTCTTCCAGTTTTTCTTGTTCATTTGTGAAAATTAAATCTGGTAGTTAGCTGGTCAGATTATATCCAGAAATATGATTTTATAGAAAATAGAATGTGCCATTGTTGAGCACATTGGTTCCTTCCATAATATGAAATATTAACGTGTTTTAAATAATCATTAAGGTTATTTCACACAAGCTTAAATTTTTGTAATTAGTACCGTATTAAAGAAAGTCTGTAGAACGGTGAACTAAATTAAATATAATAATAGTTACATATAAAGCTGTAAAATGATACTGTGTCAATTGTTTTAAAACGAGTGATGCCTGTATATTATTTTAATGTTAAAAAATAAACACAACATGAAGGAAATGTTTTATTTTAGTAAAATTTCCATTGCACTAATTTACAAAAAATCAAGCTTTTTAAAGTATCTTCCAAATTTATGCAAAGAAATTGTGTTGTTGTTTGGTGTTCATGCAGCAATATTTATTCATTACTTACATATTGCAGTGCTTGTGAACTTCTTTGAAACTGTCAAAAGCTTAGCATTTTCATTTGCCATGGCATCATATTTAATAGATGCACAAATTAAAGTATTAATTTGTGTGCCTATTACATTAGACATATATTTAATAAATTAAACATTTAAGTAAAATGAAATTGTTATAACTGTATTGTTGAAAGCATACTGAAAGAATTTTAGATAGCAATTGTTAAATGTAATGTATTTTTATAATGTGCAATAATGCTAAATGATTCTAACCTGGTTAATTGTCCTGACACTGTCAAAGGTCTGAAGTGAGCGGTGCTTTTTATATACTTCATATTTGTATTACTCTTTAGGGAAATTACAGGAACTGCATATACAGATAGCTTTTTCAGTTACCGGAAACAATCAAGGAAATGCTGCTGTTCCGCACTAACTGTCATTTATTTGTGATCCCAAAAATGACTGTCATTGAATATTTCTGTGTGGAATAAAATACTAAAACTTGATGGCAGTTGAAGAATTGATTTAAAAATGGTGGACATCCTTTCTCCTTTCCACGCACACACATACAAGGACAATTACAGAGCAAGAAATCTAAGAAAATGACTATTTAATAAGTGGCTTTCCTATTTTCCCAAAAGACAAATGTGTCTTTAAATGACTTCTACATGAGGCTTTGCTAGCATGTTACTGAACACTCTTTACTTTTAGAATGTGAGTATCAAGAGCAGATACCACCCCACATTTGGAATTCATATCTCCAGCAGCAGATCCCGTACAGTTCATATTCTGATCTCAATGTGGTGTTCATGCATCCCATGCAAAAATCTTCTGTCTACTTAATAAAAACTGCCGTTCAGTTTTCAAATTTCAAAATCTCGTAAAATCATCACTTTGTTATTATTTAAAAGTGATTCAATAATTTATATCTACTCTCATTTTATATAATTTATGTGTAATTAGATCGTAAAGAATTATAAGTTCTTGCCAAGAATTCAGTTATTCTGGGCTAAATGTCAGTTTTATTTTGGGAAGTATCTAATCAAAAGATTGCAGAGTTTATTTCTCTCCTTAATTTATCTTTTATTCTTATTATTGAATATCTTGTAATCAAATATAAAAGTTATCTGTTTTCTTGCACTCTATAAACCTTTGCGTGTTCCACCTGCAGATTTTTCGAATTGTACAAATCCGAGCTTTGCTTTTAAAGTTTTTACTTTCAGCTTTTAATCAAGTTCTCCACCTAAATAGCTATAACTTAGCAGATCATTTTAAATTTATCTTAAATAAATAAAAATTGTTGTTTTGTTTTATTTCAAATATATGACTGAATTTGATTATGAGCACTTGAGAAAATAAAGCAAGTTGTATGGTTTCTTCAAAATATTGTTTTTTTTTTTTTTTTTTATTTAATCAATATTTTATTTAGTTCATGAAAGTGGAAAGGAACTTAAATTAACTGAGGCTGAATTTTTCAAATGTTTATATTGCACTAAAATTTTAGTATTCTTTTAACTCTGAACATTTCATATCGAAAATAATTTCAAGGAAATAAAAATATTTATTGCATGCAGGGGAAAATGTAAGCTTTTGACTTTTATGTAATATTACATTTATTTAACAAATTCTGAAATTTTTGTTTTGTGATCTCTGCAATACTTGACTATATAAATACAAAATGTGATTGAAATGCATATCATAACTATAGTATTTAAATTGTATTTAGAAGTACATCCTGCCTTTCTATGAGGACCATGCATTATTGCAAAAGAGCTTGTACATTGCCTTTTTATTGCAGCGATTTTTGTAATAAATACTGCAAGATACTAAGAAAATTTAGAGAAAGGGTAATTTGAATTTATGAGAGATTCTGTTTGTATAAAAGTTAATCTTTTTTAATTCTACATTGTTAATACCATGAATATTGAAAACAAGTTTTGTTGTTTCACGTTAATTGAATTTTAAACTTTGTACATAAGATATTTCAAGCTTTGATTATAATGGAAAACTATGAATCTTTCTAACTAGTGTAGTAAAATATAAATTTTTATTCAAGTTACTGTTGTTACTAGCATATCACTGTTTTAGAGATTTTTTTCTAATTTGCTATTTGAATTTAATTAAATATTTTTAAATGTTTTCTCACACTTTTATTTCATTATAACTTTCTTCTACACTGAAGTAAATATTTTTCCTATTATAATTTAAAATGTGTACTTTCTTTTATTTAATGGTATTTTGTTTCCAAAAATTTTTGCTACTTAAATGTTTCTTCAATATCTAGTAGCAAAGTAACTTGAAGTGCTTAAACAAGTTGAATATATATGAAATGTTTAATATATTATTATTTTAAAATTTTTAATTATTTATCAATTGTATGATTTGTACAGTAGCTTCAGAAAACATCACTCTTATTTGTGTCTTTATTTAAAATGTGAAGACTGTTTGATGTGTTTTAGTGTATAATAAATGAATTTTAGTGAACATAATTGTGTTTTAGGACAATTTATAGTCATTTTTCTTTGGTGTTTTTTATCTTTTGCTGCTGTATGTTTAAAATAAAATTGTGAATAAAGTATATTGTTATTTTGATTGGTTGCCTGCAAGGTGTTGAAGATCTTTATGCTGGAGGGGGGAAAATGTATTGTACATTTTTGCATAAGTTCTTAAATATAAATTTGTAAGCTTATGCTGATTTATTTGTAACTAAACTTTAAAGTGTTGATGAGTCAAATATTAGCACCAGTACTGAGACAGTTGTTTAAAGAAAAAGTAGGTAATTTTTTTACTTGAGAAAGGACTTACTTTTTTTACTCGTACAAATAAAAATTAAAATTATGAGTGGTGGTAGTTGTTAGTTGACAGGAATAAGTCTTTTTAATGTTCATATAATAAAAATGCATTGTGCATAAGTAAAAGTTGTCTGTACATCTTATTTTGAAACAAGAGTTATAATACCGTTAATTGTTTATACCATTAATGGAAGATCTTTCCCAAGCTGTATAAATATAGCAATCGCCAAATTTTTAATTCTGCTGCTTTTACATATTTTTGTGCGCATTAAAAATAAAATCTAATAGCTAAAAGCTTTTTGTAACGTATAGCATGCATGTTTGTTTTTTATCTTTATGTATATATAATAAATATAGATATATAGACATATATGTCTATATTATATATATATAATTTTGTTCAAATGTTAAAGTATCTTTTAATGTTTTCTTTTATATTAAAAAAAGACATGAAAAACTGTTAAAATTTAAATTCTTGAGTGGAGTTTTAATCGTATTTAAAAGTAAATACACAATTTTATCATCTAGCAAAAGAGGATGTTTTTATTAAGAAAAGATTTAAGCTTTTAATAGCTCTTCTATGTAATCTAAATTTTCAGGTAAAAAAAAATTCAACAAGTTATGTTTTTATTTAATATGTTTGTTTTATAAAAAAAAACTGAATTAACATATGCACTTTAAAAAATTTTTAAGGTTACTTATTGAAACTAATAGGAATGATCTTTCCGTCATTTATGATTATAAAATCTGTTGTCTCTACAGAACAGAGGGGATCCAATAATTTTAACAAATTAGGAGAATCAGCCCTCTTCTGAAGCCTTTGTTACCACATTTATGAGGCAAGCCAGAAGGATAATAACTTTGAAGTGCCTATTTTAAAAAAACAGGTGAATTTTCTAAACTCAAAGGATATTAATATATAAAGTATATATTGCCTAACACCAGTTCAGTTCATGTTTTTAATGAGAAGATCATAAAAAATATGAATTTTATGTTTTTATGAGAAATATAAGTTTTCACTAATGTTAATAATTTTTTTTTTTATCTAACAGTTTATTTTATATAATATATAAGTTTTGACTAAAGTTATTTTAAAGCTTTTACATTTGGCAATGTACTGTCATCTTTACCAGTGCTAATGTTTAGTGAGATTGTGTAAAGTATTTAATCTTCATCGTTAAGATGTACATTTCTATAACTGAAATACTTGATTAAGAACTCTTTTCATATGTTAGAAGTGTTTTGTATTCTAAAAGGGCTGTCTCATATTGTTTAGTGATAATGCTCTTTTAGAATAGTGTATCATTAGTTTGAATATTGTGATGAATACCAGTGATGTATAGTATTTGAGTAAGTACTTGTAAATGTGCTAAAAGAATAGATAAGTGATTATGTACCTAATTTCAAGTGGTATTTTCTTGCTCTTGTGATTATTTTAACTTTTAGTTATATGCTGTAATTATTTTTTCTTTTACTTCTGGCACTTTTATAATTTATTGAATTTTAAAATGTGTGCCATTTTTATTAGGTAAGACGAAACATATGGAAGAATTAATGTTTTCAAATATTGGATAAAAGGAGTTCTTAATTTCTGGCAGTTAAAATACTCATGAAATAATTTTTATATTATGCTAGCCTATGGCCATTTATTGTGTAATTTTATTGGTAAGCATACATATTTTTTTCTTCAAGACTTAATGTATTGGGCTGGATATAAATTTTACAAAAGAGCTGATCAAGATCAGCAGGATTATTAAGTTGCTGTGACTATATGTGTGTGTTTAAAGTATTCTGCAATGTGTCCATCTTTTAGAAGTATCTCTTTCATTTTGTCAAATATCTCCATCTTTTGTATTAGCAATAATCTTAAATACTGGAATTATATATTCATGGCATCAGTTCAGAATGTTTTCTTTCTGAAATAGGTACAAGTCTTGAGCTTGAATTCTTGATTAGAAATCTTGAACTTTTTGAAATGGCAACAACTCTTGAGCTGTTTTAGCTCAAAAGAGAAGTTACCCATCTTCATATTAAATTATTTAAGAATCCATATGCAAGATAGTGAATATTCCTTATTTGATCTAAAAAATAAATAAACTGAATGCTTCATTGATTAAAATATTAATTCAGGTGAATAGAGCTTACTTAAACTCTGCTCTTTTAACATTAATGATTTTCTTTAAGAATAAGATTTATAGGAATGGAAAAGGAGCATCTTTAATGGTTTACTTTTCAAAGAATAGATATAATAATACATCACAATTCTTTCCCTTCCCAATTTGTATTTACAACATAAGAGATCAATTGCCTGTTAGTGTGTATATGTATATATGTTACGTAAAATGTATGTGTATATGTATGCAATGGAAAATAGTTAAAGCATTCAAGTAGGCAGTCTCTTAAAAACATTATAGCTGCAGCTAATAGCTTTCTGTAATTATCATGTTATAAATCAGAAGCTGTAAAAAATTTTTATAGTAACATAATAGGAATTATTGAAATTTAATATTTATTTTTTGCAAAAAGTAGAAATTATATAAATAATAAATATTAAATTCTTTGTACTGTTTTTTAAGAAATCAGGTTATATAAGCAAAATTATTTTTTATACATTTAGGAAGATTTTTTTTAAATATATATGCTCATCTCTGTGTGTGTGTGTGCATGTATGTATAAAGGGACATGAGATCAACTGAATAAAAAGGAAGAAATTAGAAGGAAAGACTCAAAGAGGCAGAAACTGAAATTTAAGAAAAATTTTTAATTATTTGACTAAAGAATTATTTATGTAAAAGTAGAAATTTTCTTTATAAACTTTGTTCCTGCATATGGGACATTCTTCCTTCAGATTACAAGAAGAGGGTATGTTTGTACATCGTTCATTGTAAGTAAAAACTGAGATTGTAATCTGCTTTGGCAATTTGTGTTAACAATCATCTACAGCTTGATGTTGTATAGTCTATTCCATAGAGTTATTTAAAAATTCAGTTTAATTAACAAAAGGGGAAAAAGCTGAACTGTTTATCAAATTCAACTACTTTTTCTCTAAAGTACTATTCTTCGTGTGTTATATTTTAATGGTTATGTATTAAAGTATTTAATCATTCGTTAATTGCTAACTGTGAGTGAAATTTAAAATTTTGAAGAATTAGCTCTCAGTTCTTAAGTAACATATGTCTTCACCTTTTTAGTACTTTTTTTTTCCCCCAAATGTTTCTGAGGTTTCTTAGTTCTGTTAGTTTTAGTTTAAACATTGTGTCCGAAAATAAACAAAATTTTTTAGAGATGGTTTTAAATTACATTGCTCTTTAGACAGGAATATTAGATTTATGTTTATCACTGTTTCCATCAGATGTTTAAAAAAATTGTAAAACTTTTTATATCATTTTATATTTTAGAAGTTTGCCAATTGTAGGTCCATCAGCTGATTGCTTTTAATTAACACAATTATTCTGTTGGATAAATTTTTATTTTTTCCTTATCATTTCACAGGATTTTTTTAAATTAACTATAGTACGATTTTTGATTTTTAATAATAGGTATCACAATAATATGAAACAATTTGAATCTGTCATTAGAATTCACAGTAGGAAATGATGGTGGGAAAATTTTTACTTCAGTTCCTTTTCAGAAAAATTAAAAGATTCTGTATTTAACAAAAACAAAAGTTCTGTGTGAGAGAAACATTTTAATCAAGAAAGAATGACAGGATTGTGTATGATTTTTTAATTGTAATTATTACAACTGCTTTATCTTTTTATTCGAGGAGACAAATCAAGGCATTATATGTCCTTTTAATCAGGGTGGCTAATTTGTTTTAAAGTGCCATGATGTAAAAAATGGCTAATAAGGCACATTTTGTTATGAATTATATGTTATTTGGCTTATTGATAATTCAGAATTATGTTATTCCATGTGAACATTTTATCAAGTGGAATGCATTAACACCTTTAATAATTATTATATCAGGGTAATATTAACCCTTTGACTACGAGTTTTAAAAAAAGGAATTTAATTAAAATTTGATTTTTTACCCTATTTTCTATCCAAGTGAACAAAATATATCATAAATGAGTTAAATTTCGCATCTGAGATTTATTTGACAAACAGTTTTCAAGGCAAAGGGGGGGGACACATATCTCTCAGCCATAGTTAATGGTAAGATATATATATCAGATGCATAGCGATCGACTTACTATAAGCACATCTATTATTCTAAAAAACTTTTCTATGAAATAGATTTATAGCATATGGTACAGTTGTTTAATTCTTTGTTCACCTACAAAAGTTGTTTTTACATAAATAAAAAGAATAATTTCGTAATTTTCTGTTAGTATAAAGAGTTTGGCCTCAGTCAAGATAAGCCATCGTACATATACATATGCACTTATTTTATATTTCTTTGATTTATTACACATACCAACATGCAATTATTTAATTCATATATTTTATTAGTATCACTTATTATATTAATAGTAACTGGATCTTATATTAAGATGTAATATGTGATTAATGTCATAAAGCTCCTTTGTTAAAAAAAAAAAAAAGTATATAAGCATTTATTACAAAAGGTATTAATTTGGTATGTTAGCTTGTTGTAACAATTCTTCTAGTATATCCTTCAGTAATACCATTATTAGTTAATACTTGTATCTGAAATAGGGAAAATTGTTGAAAATGAAGCATTTTGTTTTCTATTTAGCTGAACTATTGCAAATTTAAAAAGCTTTAAATTTAGAAATATATAAAGAATATTAATATTTTTTGTTTATGAATGTATGGAACTGAATGAACAAGGGAAATCAAAAGAATTAGATTTCTGAAAATATATTTGATTAAGTTACGGTGAATCTTTAAATTTCTTTCCATTCTAGAAAATTGCTATATGCTACAATATCTATATTCGTTATTGAAATGATTATTGATAGTAGTTAGTTCTTAATATATTTTCCTTTCATCTGAAGATACGGAGTTAGCATTATAGTGATTTATGCAATTAAAACAGTTATGTTGAATACAACCTATTCTAAATTTTTGGCAGTTTAGATAAAAGTGATGTCAATAAGTTCCTTTAATAATAATAATAAAAAAATTCCTTAGTGTGAATATGTGAGATGATACAGAAGGAAAAGATAATGTTATTTTATGTTTTATTATTTTCGAAAGACGTTCTGAATATTTTTTTAAAAAAATTAATGTATAATAAATTTTTATCAATTCTACTTTTTTTTATCAGGGTATCTTATGTTATTTATTATATTATGGGGAAAATTCATTTTCCTTCATTTTGTAATGATTTCGACTTTATTGTAAATCATAATTTTAATCTTCATGAGATAATTTTTTAGTAATGTGAATTATCAGCTAAGTTTTCTTAAATGTTAACGGATTGTATTTAAAGGAACTGCCTTTTTTTTTTTCAGGTAAACACCATTTATTTGGATATTTATTCATTCACAATTAAGTATAATATTTTTTAAATACCCAATTTTGATATAATACCACATAGTGTTGTGAATTCAATTTTGCAGTACAATAAGTGTGTCTGGTTTAATCTTTTGATTACATGTTTTAACCTGAAGGATAAATCCTGTTATGTGCTGAATATCCTCTTCATTCCAATTGTTTGCTTATTTCAGATGATTTTTATTGTTTTAAATCATGTACATTGAATTTCCTACTTCATTACATGTGTACATTGAATATTTTCTTTTAAGGTAAACTAATAAGTGAAATGTTTGCATATAACTCTTAAATTTCTTTCTTTTGGTGAAATGTAAGTATTATATGAAATTAATCCTGATATTGTATTTGCATTTCATTTATTGGTAAATATAGGTAGATAATTGTTTTAATATTAGATCAGAGTTTAAATCTCAATGAATTATGTTTTATGATGTATACACATCATTTTATGTAGAGAGATTTTATGTTTCTTTTTAGGCGGAGTGAATTTTTAAAATGTCATTGAATAGTGATTTATGTATTCATTTTTAGTTTACACCTTTATTGAAATAAATTATAGATGCTGATCAGAATTGGAATTCAAGATATGCAACTAAACCACTTTTCAGATTAAATATTGACATGTTTTTCATTTTGACTATACCAAGGAATAGATGGCTGTGTACTGAACTCTTGCTTGCATCTGATGTATTTCAATTGTAGATGGTGGTCTTTCTGATACTGTGACTATGAATTAGAAGTAATCGGTTTTTATTTTCCGTTGAAAGCTTATTTCATTTGGGATGAATTAGAAGTAATTGCTTTTTATTTTCCGTTGAAAGCTTATTTCATTTGGGGAATGTTAATAGAAAAATGCAGAATTTAAAGATAGTATTAGATTTGAATTTTATTCAAGTGTTTAAAAGTTTTTAAATAGCAAAATGTGCATGTAAATATCCATTTTGAGTACAGACACGATTTTTGTAACATTGGAAAAATATCTTGTGAAGTGTTCATGTTTGCATTGCTGGGCAATGACAGTTACTTAGATCTTTAGTAGGAACTATTAATTTTATGCCTTGGGGTATAAAGTATGTTTGTATTTGCTAATTGCAAATGCATTTGTAAATTATATACATATATGTACATAGATTTGTTTCCTTCTCCCCCTTTTTTTTTTCATCCTAACAAATCATTTAAGTTGGGGTGGTTAATCAAGATTCTTCTATTTTTTGGGAGCATCATACATTGAATTGAACATCATCCATTAAGTGTTATCTAATTTTCATTTTTATAATGCACTGTCTGCAGACTGATTTTTTTGTGGTCAGTTCCTTAGACAACTAGTTGAAAGTATTTCACCAACTTCTATTTTTCATATTATGAGTTTCATTACCAGAGGTTCTAATACCATTGCTTGTAACATATATTTTTCCATCATATTAATACTGTATGAATACTGCAAGTGTTCAGAGTTGTGATGAGAAATTTTGAAATAATTATTTTAATACATTGTGCCTTAAAACATGTTGAACCATAACTCGAAATGAAGATGCTCTTCTAAACAAGCATCTACATCATGTGAATATAATAATGTTCCTGTTTAAATTCATATAGTTAACATTTTATTTTCTCTGTGTTTATAACTTGTTGCTTTTAAATTTAATTATATTTGCTAAACTCACTTTTGATTTTTAAAAATTAATAGATTTGTTGTTTAGTTACAAAGATTGATATTGAAGCTGAATCATTAGAATGTAAGTAATGCTTTAAACAATTTGCATTATTTTGATGTAAGGTTGTTTAGAGTATGCAAAAATGATACTTGTTAATTTTCTTCTAATATTAAAATATGTTGCATTACATTGCCTTAAAATTTTATTCTCATCAGAAGTAGGATTAATTTTTTAGAGCTTCATGAGTAATTAACCTTTTTACAAAACTCATTATTTTGCACATAAAAATGTAAGGAGGAATTTATTTAGTATTTATTGGTATGTTCCATATACCATGAGAAGTACAATTATTCAGAGACTAAATTAGCATGTGCTGTCAACTATATCTGATAATTTTTAATATTTTATTTTATTCATTTTGTAATATAAATCCATAATTATTAATAACATAAATGTGTGAATAAATTTCTCATTGGAGATATCATGTACTTTGTAATGGAGCAAAAAACTATGTAAAATTTTATGAATTGTAAGTATATACAAAATAAATCTTTTATTGTAAAAAAAAAAAAGTTTAACTTTGTTGGAAAAGGAAGAGTGTGTTTTTTTTGTTTGTATATAAATTTCTTTTGGCATATTTAACTCTTTGTGACAATTTTAATTAGCGCCCATTTATTCAAATTTAAAAGTCGCTTTGGCAAACACAAAAACCCTTTTTTTTTTACTATTATTATTTACTTAATTAACTTTTTCTGTGTCATACTCGGTAAACAAATGTTATGGCCAGACAAAATAAAGAGTATAATCAAAGAAAGTTTTGTTGCAAGCATCATGCACACAACTAGATCGTAATTTTTTTCGTTATTAAATAAACCCATAAATTTCCATATGGTTGTAATTTAAGATGAAATTCTATCTTAGCAAATTTCCAGTATAATTTAGCATTATTGTTTCTAATAGTTTATTTGAAATATACGATTTTGTGTTAACAAGATGAATTTTTAAACTAGTATATTGGTAACTTTTTACGTGAAAGTGTAGTAAGGTAGCAATTTTTATATTTTAAATATTTTTTAACTTTTTGAAACTTTAATGGTAGAGGTTGGACTATAATCTGAAATTTTTAGATTGCTTGCAATTTAATTTTTTTTTTTAATCCAGTGCATTTGTGACTCTTTCAAAAAGGCAAAGATTATTATTTGTGTTTTAATATGTTAATGTTTGGAACTAACACATAATTTTCTTTTATTAAAGTGTGTATATATTTTTGAAAGACTATGTATAAATTTAATAGCTTTTTAAAATTAGTTTGAAAGAATGCTTTTAAGTACTCTATTTACTTACATATTCCCTCACCCCTTCTTAGCTTTATGGTTACCAGTATAACCAAAATACCATAAATGTAAGTGTTGTTAGTTTCTTAAATGTGTTGTTTCTCCTTTGGGTCCACGGTCTGATCCTAGTATACAGAAATCTGGGATTGGGCAATTTCAATAAATTTCAAACTTGTGCCTAGGCTGTATCGTATATTAAAATTTTACAGAGCCCACCGGCCGCCGAACAATAAAATGGCTGAACTCCGGTAGTTCCGTTTTCGTGGTTTTCCCCATGTGTAAATTTCCGTTTGAAATTCTTCCACAAAGGCATCCCTTCCCTTAGACAGATAGTTCTCCTGTACTTTTCCATTAATAAACTAAACTAAACCAGTCTTCTTTAAAACTAACATTACACTGAAGATACTGTGTTGGTATTATAATAGAAACTTTATCGCTAAAATGTGTTCTTATTTTAATATTCTCATCATAAAAAAAAAAAAAAAAATTCCAGTCATGTAAAAACCTAAAGCCAGAAGATAAAACGATAAAACATTCATAGCATCCTAGCCCATGGTTGACATTTATTCTTCACTGTCTGTCCTCCTCAACATATTTAAACTGGTGCTTATCCTTATGTATTTTGTCAGTTGCTGTTTTTCTTTAAAGAATTTTTTTGCTGTTGCCTTTATCAGTTCCTGAACTCTATTTTGCCGTGACAACGTGCTTGAAAGATCTTTTGTTGTGGACTCCCCGTCGGGCTCACATGGCGTCTCGGCGAAGAGTCGGCAATATATTTCTTTGGGGTATACTCCAGTTGCAGGAATGAACTCCCCCCCCCGTCCGTCTGGGTATAGTTCAACTGTGTGAATCAAAATTTCTTCCCATTTCCTGCCAGGGAACTACAGGGTTACATTTTTACTTTTCGAAGCCAATTGTAGTCAAGAGGAAAATAAAAATAAAGAAATATAATTACATATCACAAGAACAAGTAAAGAATGTATAACAAGCAGGGTATAATGACTTGAAAAACTAATAATTGCAAGAGCTAACAAAGAAAGTAAAAGGTATTAAAAAACAAGCATACATATTAGCATTACAAACATCTTTCATTAATTACATTAGAGCAAAGAATATTATAATAATATCATAAATTAAATAATTATAAAGCATACCAATTATATTTTTTATAAATTCATCAATAATAGTCATGATGTTTGAACTAGACTGGAAAATTTAATATAGTTCACTGGCGTGCAAAAGGTTATTCCATATCAAAGTGTGTTTAAGTGTGCTAGAAATATTTTTTGTTAATTAAGGTAATCATGTAAATGTTTTCAGAAATTTATAGTTAAATTTAAAAAAAAATTAGCATGAAATCTATTATAACAACATTACTATGCATTTGGAACACTGACATAAAAATTTTAAATAAATTTAAATTATTATGCTAAGAAATTTTTCTAAAATTTATCTAGAGGAAAAGAATTAGATAAAGAGTACTGCAAATTAATATAATCAATCAGGCCTCTCAATAAATAAAAGCTTATTTTTTTAACCAAAAATTAAAAATTAGGATGCAAAAGTTTGTGTAATATACTTGGAAATATCTGAACATATAATTAGTTAGAAACATACAATTAAATTAATAACAAGCTAATTAACAGTAACATTAAGCTTAATTTCATTCAATCTAAAACAAGCAATAGATCAGGAGCTCCGCATAACTGAAGTTTATTGCTATTTTACGTAGATATGTGTATAAAATAAAAGTTGCACTTGTGAAACAAGTGATTAGTGTACTGATTGCCAACAGGAATCAAATTATACACTGCTCAAAGCAGTTAGGGGATATTGTGAGTTCCGTATGCAATAACCGTATAATTAACAACATTTTTAATAAAAAATAAAAAGGAAAATTATAACATTTACAAAGTTGGGAATATACAAGTTTTGTCTGTGATTCGAAAACTATGCGTTTTAGATAAGGAGTGAAAAGTGATCTACAGCATTCCTTCTCCAGAAAGAGATTGAAAACAACTGAACTGACACGCGTGGAATGCTTTGTAGCAGTGACTACGATGTCTACGCAAGATGACTTAACTGAATGGGTGGCCTAAAGACCCATCGGTCGTTTAGAGGAGGATCAAATGCAATCCGTTGCAGTGAAAGTTTTAGAGAAGTTCCTCAAGTGTCACTTCCATACTATAATGCTCGCTGAAGATCGTACACCTGCAACAACGCAAAATGAAAGTCGATATTTAACACAGACTGCCTGAAGAAACCTCATTATGAACGCCACTTTCTTGCAACAGAATTTTCAGAGGGCTATTGGTATGAGGCTTCGACTCAAACTGTTTGAAACCGACTCCACCGTGTGGATTTGCACGTTCCCAGACCTATGTTTTGCGTTCCGTAGACACAGTGCTTCCGCAGAAGGTGGGCACAGAATTATCTCAGATGGGAACGAGAGGAATGTAGCAACGGGCTCTTCACGGACAGGTTCCACTTTTGTGTGCTACCTGACAGTAGGAGGATTCTCATATCGAGAGAACGTCGTACACAGCATACTCTTACATTTGTGCATGAAAATGTCCGATTTGGCCGAGGCGGAGTGATGGTCTGGGTCAGTATTTCTGTCAATGGCCTCATCGACCTGCACATCATCAAGAATTGAGCACTAGAAGTATCATCAAGAATTGAGCACTGAAATCCTCATACTTCTTGTGGGCCTTTACGTTGCAGGATCGGGGATGAATTCATTCTCATGTATTACAATGCCAAGTCACATCGCTCATCGAGCGGCCAAGTTCCTTATCGAAGAAGATATCTTTCGATTGGATTATTCGCCAGCATATTCCCTAGATATGAACTCAATAGAACATGTTTGAGAGATTCTAGGGAGCAGAGATGCTAGTCTCTTATCAACCTCAGAAACTATTCAGCAAGAGAAAAGCTCTCTTCTAACAGAGGTAGGAGAGAATGCCCATTCTCTCTTTGATAACCGCACTGATTCCATGCCTCATAGGTGTGGGACATTCCTTTCGTACAGGACAAATCATATAGAACTCATTTGTGTCCGAGATATAATTTTTTGTTTGTTTGTATAATAAGCACAAATTTGCATTTTTGTTTACCGACAAATATCGTCAACAAAATTTAATTATTCCTTGTCTGTTGCTTCTTTTCTCGTATCTTACAACACATATGCATCATGTATCAGTCGCGAAAACATTTCCTCAGGCACAGTTTCTATTCAAAATCATAATATCTCCTAATTGTTTTGATCAGTGTATATCCTATGAGCAAAGCGTTTGAGCTATCCTTCAATCTTACTTTATTACGGAAATTAGATTTTAGCTCAGTTGTAAGGATTATATTTATTTAATTAACAGTTAAATTTTGAGTTAAACTTCCTGTCCTGTCGCTTCTAAATTTCAACTTACCACTTCCGGCCAGAACGTATTTTTAGAATCACGTTTGAATGCAAAGTGATGAAGAGTGGTATTTAACCGCGAAGTTCTACTGTCTTAGTCAGAGAGAACCAAAGATTCTGGCTAGCACGCGTCCGCCTTTTTAGGTTACTCTCTCTTAAACTGTTATTACGCTCGGCCGTACTTTAGGCCCTTAATAGCTTCGCAGTCAATTATCGTTAAGAAGCCAACTGCATTAGATTGTACTTCACTATTTTTTATTAGTTTTTCTTGTTCCTAGCAGCCGGGTCGCTTTTAACCCAACGATTCTTAATCTTGATAAAGTTTTAACCTTTCCAAGTTTTTACTGACTTCGTCCATAACCTTCTCACACTCACGTGTCACGGGGCAGAACAAAGCTTTGCCCCGTGACAACGCTGCAGCAGTGTGTTAGGAGCTCCTCGTTGAACGAGTTATAACCGCGGTAATATTTGTCGTGTGTCTACAAGGTTAGTAACATCGTAAAGGTCTCAACAAGCTACAAATTTTGATGCTTGATTTGTGTTCCTACGTCTTATAATTCCGGAGTTATTGAAATTTTTAAATTCTCATCCATTGTCTACGCATGAGCCTATGTTTTTGAATGAAGAACCGGAAGAAGAAAATGAAGTGCTGCTTTATGCTCCGTCGTTGTTAAGTGATTACTCGCGACCAAATTGCCTTCTGTTCTCAACACAGATATCTGGAGAAAGCTGGCGCATTCCGCTTTCTAACGGTGCAAGAATTGTGTTTGTGGTGTGTGTTTAAGCAGAGTTATAATTATTTTAATTAGAGTCCATAAAGTGTCATTTTTGCGGATTTCGTT